TTTATTTTGTGTTGAAAGTCATCAATACTTTCTGAACACACCTATTTGAGAGAGCCAAAATTATGTCATGACTTGTTAGAATTGCTCTCTATGCTTCACTTAAATTTTTATGAGCAATGGACTTGCTCTAATGCTTCACTTATATCTTTTTGAGCACGGTGTGCTTAGTATTTATGAAGAAATGCTCTCTTGCTTCACTTAGATTTATTTGAGAGTTAGTAAAATTTTGAAGAAATTCTCTCTTGCTTCACTTAATTTATTTTGAAAGAAAGAAAATATGTTATGCTCATGATCTTCACTTATATTTGTTTGAGCTTATGAAAAGCAACACATAAAAATTAGTCCCAAAGTGATAGATATCCAAGAAGGATAAAGAAAGAAAAAATATATGTCATGAAGATCATTGGACAAAATAAACTTGATTCTTAGTAATAGTTTTGAGATATGATGATGTGATATGTGAGTTATGTTGATGAGTAATTGTGATCTAGTAATAATATTGGTGTTAAGGTTTGTGATTCCCTATGCATGCACGGAAGTCAATAATCATGCAATGAAAATTATGTCCTACTTGTGGTGCATTATTCGGTGTTAATTGTGCTTAATGCTTGCTTATGAGATTATTCATTTCTTGGTTGGTCGCTTCTCAATCTTTTTGCTAGCCTTCATTTTGCACCAAGTATGACCTCTACTTGTGCATCCAAAATCCTTTAAACCAGTTTTGCCACATGAGTCCACTATATCTACCTATATGCGGTATTGTTTTGCCGTTCTAAGCAAATTTGCATGTGCCATCTCTAATTTTCAAAATAAACTTCTCTTTTGTGTGTTTGTTCTGCTCAGGGAACGGTAACGGGTAGCTAATATTTTCCATGCTAGATGTGTTATTCTCACGACGAGTGTTTATTCACTTGTAATTGCACGAGAGTAAGGCAAAGGTATTAGGGATGCCCAGTCCCGAAATGCAAAAATGAATTTACTTTATGTTATCAAATAATAAATTCCTTGGAAAGTTTTGGTATGGAGGGCACCCGCGGATACGGCTAGCCATGGAAAGTGAAAGTATGGTGGAAAAAGGAATAAACTTTATTTTCTGTTTGGGAACCGCCTATGATATATCTAGCATGGAAAGTGTTGGGATGCTCTGAGTCATTTTCGTTGGTGGGATGGATACACCTCCCAAAATGTTTTTATCTCTCTTTTTTTCGCTTTGAGCTCTGGCACCTCTACAAATCCCTACTTCCCTCTGCGAAGGGCCTTTCTTTTACTTTATGCAATTTTTATTTTTGAAATTGAGTCTCCATCCTCTCTTATAAAAGCACCAACTAGGAGGCAACATGACCGTACTTAAGTATTGGGTGTAGCTAATATTCGATTATATTTCATGAATGGATCAATGTTTGAGCATGATGGGCTAGGGATAACTTGTTTTAGCATTGATATTTTGAAACACATGGTTGCTTGTTGATATGCTTGAGTATCTAAATTATTATGTCAAAACTAGACTATTGCTTTGAATAGCATAAAAGTCCAAATGTCCATGCTATAAAGAAAAGAATATGATATGACATGATAAACAACACTCCACATCAAAAATTCTGTTTTTATCACTTACCTACTCGAGGACGAGATGAGTTAAGCTTGGGGATGTTGATGCGTCTCCAACGTATCTATAATTTTTTATTATTCCATGTTGTTTTATTATCAATCTTGGATGTTTTATAATCATTTTATAGTCATTTTATATCATTTTTTGGTATTAACCTATTGACATAGTGCCAAGTGTCAGTTGCTGTTTTCTGCGTGTTTTTTACATCACAGGAAATCAATATCAGATGGAGTCCAAATGCCATGCCAATTTACGATGATTTTTTATGGACCAAAAGGAAGAAGTTGGGCCCTGGTTGCACCTGGGGGGAGTCCCAGACCGCTTCTTTGCTTTATAAATACCCCAATATTCCAGAAACCCTAGGGGAGTCGACGGATATTCATCCAGCCGCTGCAGAGTCCAGAACCACCAGATCCAATCCAGACACCATCACGGAGGGGTTCACCACTTCCATTGGTGCCTCTCCGATGATGCGTGAGTAGTTCTTTTTAGACCTTCGGGCCCGTAGTTAGTAGCTAGATGGCTTCCTCTCTCTCTTGATTATCAATACAATGGTCTCTTGTAGATCCATATGATGTAACTCTTTTTGCGGTGTGTTTGTTGGGATCCGATGAACTTCGAGTTTATGATCAGTTATATCTTTTTATATCCATGAAAGGTATTTGAGTTTCTTTGATCTCTTATATGCATGATTGCTTATAGCCTCGTATTTCTTCTCCGATATTTGGGTTTTGTTTGGCCAACTTGATCTATTTATCTTGCAATGGGAAGAGGTGCCCGATAGTGGGTTCGATCTTACGGCGTTTGATCCCAGTGAAAGTAAGGGAACCAACACGTATGTATCATTGCTACTAAGGATACAAAGATGAGATCTATATCTGCTGCAATAGATTAACGGGTCTCATACAAAACAAAGCAGGAGTAGGGTATCACACCAAGAAGGTGGCCCGAACCCGGGTAGTTTCGTGTGTTCATCTGTAGTTCATCCACCATATTCACTCATGACTTAGGATCGCTAGACGTGTCCAGTGCCTGGACGTACTCTCAAAGAGTTGTTGCTCACAACTCATATGTAGGTTCTTAGAAAACCGACAGATTCAGAAGAACCACACAGTGTAGGAATGCATCTTCAAAAGCATTAATTCGCGTGGTAAGAGGGACATACATGTTCATTTGGTATGTGTGCAAGTGAGTGTATTTTATGAAGGAAGAAAACAATGTGTGATGTGGTGGTACATTTAAGGGTTAAGAGCAAAAATTGTGTCAACTATGTAATAAGCTGTATAAGTACTGACGGACAATATATAAATTGATGCCCCTAAAAACAAATCTTGATGCAACATTATATGCATAATGATATAAAAGAAGACAAGCTAAGCCTAAGAGTGAGTGAGTGAGTGAGTGAAGATGGGAGCCCCACATGCATACATGGAAGGATCTTGCTTCATGACATTGCGCTAATTGAATAACATACCACAATCGCCAATGTGTTGAGGTGGGTAGAGGAAGATAATATAATAAGTCTTACATATATGATCTATATATGATTATATTTCACTTTTGGTTGCAAATTTATCGAAAGGTGTAAAGAAACATTACACCAAAGCTTATTTTCCTTTTTGGTGCCTACATAAGTGCAAGTGGAAGAACCCAACACATGATTTATTTATGAGTCATATGTATGTTTTAAGTCAACTCGAACAAAATCTAACATCAAGGGCAAATTATTGATAGAGAAAAAAGGTAGTACATAAAGTCACTTCATTTTTACATATAAACGGCATGTTGGGGTCTGTGTAGCTAAACTTTTCAAACTGCCTATATAAGAGATATTAGATCGGCCAACTAAAAATAACAATACCATTTTATCCTTCACTAATCTTTTTCAAATACCATCATTTATAGTTTCTATATAAGTATGTAACATATAAATAATAATAATCTAAATTGTGTACCGACTTACTAAAATGAATAGACATATAGCATAATAACGATATCAAAAGGAATACTATTGTGTTACATCCCCTGCGATGGCACGGCGAAAAGAACATTTTCGATGGCAATTTTAGTTGTCGCCAGAATAGTCAAATTTTGTCAGCAAGCACGGCAAATCCTGACAAAAAAATAAAATTAAACTTGACGGATTTTTGCCATGCTTGCCAACTAAACTTGGCATTCATAGAAAAAAATTGCCATGCAAATTGTTCGCTTGCCATGCCTTCTAGCGAATGTTCGATGATTATGAGGATTCTATAAAAAATCTAACTGCGCAAACACGGGTGATCCACTAGTTATTACCCCTGGAAAAGAAAGAAAAAGCTATACAAATCAACATTTTTCTAAAATAAGAGTACTATATCTCCGAGCGCTTGAATGGAGTAAATTCAAGTTTGAAATTTGAAATCAAATGCCTAAAGAAGATGGAGTCACCGTAACGTTTTTTTTTTGACCTGGAACCACTTGGATCCCATTACTCAACTGGCTCAGCGACATCGCTGGCCACCAACGCGCATACATTGTTAGGCACAGCCTCCATCCACAGACAGTGAGGTACCTGGCCATTACTCCCCAATGCAGCAAGTGCATGGGCAACCTTATTACAATCTCGAGGAGCAAACACATAGTTTACGATATTAAAACTAAGACGAATAAACTGGCGAATGTCTCTATAGAATGCCTTCAGGAGCTCGATCATAGCTTGTACTTTGCAGGGCCTTCAGTAGGATTTGACGTTCTTGATCAAGTCCAACGCAATCTTCTCCTGCAGTCTAATCGCTCGCTCATGATCCGTTTCCACTTTCCATAAAACAAGCCAATCTTCCACCGGAAGGAAGCCCCCACGAACGTTAAAAGTGAGTGGCCCGCCCGTTCCTTCCTCTCCCCAGATCCAAACCGCCGCCACCCAGAAATTCAAGCACCCCTCCCACGTCTCCCTCCATCGGCCAACCCCATCCAGATTCCGGACCGCCATGTCGTCGTGGTTTCAGACTTTCAGTCCTCCTACTACGACGGGGATGACGTCAAGCCGGCGGTGACGACGCATTGGCGCCGTGACTATGGCTATGGCTACGGCGGGGGAGCTGCCGCGGAGGACGTCAAGCCGCGTCCGGGTCCTCCGGGAGCAGGAGCAGGAGCAGGCCGAGGTGTACATGGACAGGACGATCGGGCGGCGTTCTCTTGGCCGGCGGCCGAGGAGTTCAAGTCGACGCTGCGCACGCAGGAGTCCCTCGCCGGCCTCCGCACCAGGTACGGCATCCCGGAGGGGTTCGGCCTGTACCTCGCCGGCCCCGCCCAGGCAGCGTGCGCGCCGCCCCCTCCCGCCGCTCGCGGAGCCCGAGGCGGCGCCGCGGCGGTGCCGATCTGCGTGCACACGCAGGCGTTCGTCGCGGGCATGCGCCTGCCGCTGCACCCCTTCTTCAGCGACGCGCTCGCGCACTTCGGCATCGCGCCGTCGCAGCTCGCGCCCAACGGGTGGCGCGTCCTGGCCGGCTTCGCGGTGCTCTGCCACTTCCGCGGCGCCGGCGCGCCCTCCCTGCCGGTGTTCCGCCACTTCTTCGCCCTCACGCCGCTCCCCCACGGGAAGGGCTGGTTCTCCTTCCGCTCCAGGGAGAGCGTCCCAGCGCTCTTCACCGGGCTCCCCACGTCCGTCAAGGGGTGGAAGGAGGAGTTCCTGCTCGTGTCGCCTCCGCCGGGCGCGCCGTGGCGGTGCCCCGTGCGGTGGGGCTCCCCGACGAAGGAGGCGACGAGCGACCCCATGCTCACCGGCAGCGATGCGGCCGTGGCGCGCCGGCTGTCGCAGGGGCAGGGCGTCGTCGACCTTAAGACGTACCTGTCCGACAGCAACCTCGTCGCCGCCAAGATTAGCCGCGCTCCGGCGTGTCTCGGTACGTATGCGTGTCATTACTGTAGGCACATGTGGATAGATGGATGGGGTGGAGAATGTTTTAACGTTGGATTGTTTGTGTGCGCAGGGACGGGAGCTTCCCAAGGTGCAGCGCCGCCCACGGCCACAGGGAAGAAGAGAAAGGTGGCTGCTCCTGCTGGTGCTACGGCTGCTGGTGGTGGCGGGGGCGGCGACGTGCTTCGTTCGGAGCTGCGCGCGAAGGAGATGGCTCTCTCCAAGGCCAAGGGCGAGATCAGCCAGCTGAAGAAGGAGCTGAGCGATGCCAAGAAGAGGGAGCTCGCCGACGCGCAGCAGGCACTGGCCTACGCGGCGCAGGTGCTCAAGCCCGAAGGCAGCGGCAAGGGCGCTGGGGCCGGCAAGCGGCGGCGTGGCGCCCAGTGATCACGTACGTCGTGACTCGTGACCCAGTGATCGCGTCGATGTTTTTAGCAAACTTAGTTCTATGTTTGTGTCTGGTGAGTCGCGTTGCAACCAATGACGTGCTTAGAAATATGTGGATTTCTGCAAATCATTATTGAAATCTGGCTTGAGGTTTGAGTTGGTTGATGATTCTCGCCTTGTTAGCAAAAGTAGTTACGTTTTTTCTTCAATTCAACCCGAAATGTTTCACCGCATTTTAGTCACCAGTAGCCTAATTAAAGTTCGGAAATTCTGCACTCTTGAAAAACTCTTCGATCCGACTATTCCGTGCGTTCCTTCAGCCAGCCTCCCACGCTGGCCACGCTTTCCAGACGCAGTAGCCGCCTCGTCACACTCCGATCTCTCCCCCCGTGGAACTCCTCCTAGTTGCCAATGTATTGTATATCAATTCCTTAGAAGTTCTCTAGATGGACGATGCTTCAGTGACCCAACTGCATGTCAATGTCCCAACTGCACCTGTAGTTACGTCACTGGCTTTCAACTCAACGCAAAATGGCCCAAATGCAACCATCTTGAAATGTAGCTGCACCCGAAGCGAACAGACTCAAGTCCTCCTGAGTCGAGCGAGACGGGCTAAACTGTACATGTGACGCGGATGTCCGATGTCCCTGTGTCATCTCCTCAAAAAGTAGGACATGAATGAAAGCAAGATTCGAGGCCCTGTTGAGCTCTTTTCAGACCCCCGCGTCGCCCAGCTCTGACGCCACCCACCCCCGCATCAACAAGGTCCCTCCCCTGCCCCCACCCCCGCATCGCCGCCGCCGGAGGGCCGGCTGGCGAAGCTGCGCCGGACCCCAGGAAGGTGGCGGCGGGGTGGATCTGGCTCCTCACGCCCCCAATCCCCCTCCATCCCGCGCCCCCTTCCGGCGGCTACCTCCTGCTGGCCCGGCGACGCCGGCTCCGGACTCCTGACGGCCGCCCCGCGCGGCTCCGGCCAGCCTTGCTCCCCTCCCCCGCCCCTGGCCGCCGCGGACACCTCCTCCCCTCGCACGCCTCCTCATCTTCGCCCGCGCACACACGTCCCCGAGATCCCTCCTTGCGTCTCTCGGGTGTCCTCCAACCGGCTGCTGCCCCGACTTGTTGGCCGGCGATGACCCTCCCTCGCCCCCGGGCCACGGTGATAGCTCTCGCGCGGAGGCGGAGATGGTTCTGTGGTGTGGCCGACTCGGGTCTCCTCGCGGCGGATCACTGCTGGTGCTGTTTCGGTCCCGGCGGCCTCGGGCCCGCGTCTTTCCGGTGTACCCTGCTGTCGGCGTTCTCTGTCGGGCAGCTCCGGCCTCGGCGACCGTGTAGATGCGTCCCCTCGAGCTCACTCGGCTCGTCGACATCACGATGGCTAAGGCCACGACAGCTCGGATCTGCGCCCTTCCAGTCCTAGTTCACCGGCATTGCTGGACGCCGCCTCCGCGATCCACCTGTGAGGTTTTGCTTCGGCGCCAGCCCTACCCCGTTCGCCTCAAAGCCTCCACCTTTTGCCAGATCCAGTGCTCATGGGTTTGATGGCGCTGGCACCCTCCGACGGCAAGTGCAACCCCGCCAACCCTTCTTGACATGGTGGTTCCGACCAACTTTGGCTTCCTCATCTTCGATTTCAGACTTGGCGGCTATGGGATTGCTCAGCTTCAGGACAGGGAGAGATCCCTGCTCGGCTTGCCAGTGCTGGCAATGGCAGCGCCCGTGGGTGTCGCTTCCTTCTTGGAGGCGCTGCCAAGGCCTTCAGTTGCGCCCCTCTTCGAACTTAGGGGAAACCCCGGGTCTGACTCCCAAGAACCTGATAGCGACCGCGTCCCAGTGTTGTCTTCCTTCTTGAAGGCGCTATCTTGCGAGCTCGTGGTGTCCCCGATTCAGACTCAATCGATGTTGGTATTCTTGTGTTGGTTCGACATTGCCGCTAGGTTCGGGTTTGGTAGGTCTAGCTGTGATGTATCCTCCATTCGGGCCAAGCAACCCTTTCTCTCTGCTTCGGACACCATGTTCACACCTACCTGCGTCCGTGTCATGTGTTGTACCCCCGTTTGTACTCGTTCTTCTCCTTCTATCAATGAAAGATACACAAGCTTTGCGTATTCGCGAAAAAAAGAGTATGAGGATAGACTCCTCGTTCCTAGAAGTTTCTCCTTTAATAGAAAATTATATTATTACATCATTGAAAATAATCAAGACGAACCAGAGTAATGCCCTTCTATGGAATTTTAGTAAAGTAGGTGATTTCCCTGCGCGTTGCTGCGAGATTTAAAGATTAATTTCAGATCATTTTTTAGGAAAGAAATGATCTAAATGAAAAGCTATTATTTTTTTAAAGTAATTGTGTGGGAATAAAAGTATGCATGTACGCTAGACCATTGAAGATGGAACAATTAAATTAGGGTGTACATGTGCTACAAAATAATTTTAGTGGATGATGATGTGGCAGATTTGATGATGTGAAGGGTTACATGATGAGAGAATTAAAGTTATTGAGAATCAACTATTTAGGTATTATAGATATTAGTATGTATAGAAAAAAATAGTAATATAATCCTCAGTTAGAAAATTTGAGAAATACGGCCAACAATTTGGTGGGTAGAAACAAAAGAGGTAGCTTGTAATCAGAACAAAATCATTCATGTTCACGACGATTATAGCTCCTAAGAGCGTCTCTAGCAGACCCAGCAAAGCGCGGACCTATAAACTCAGTTTACAGTTCGTTCGTTGCCTCGGATACGAGCCCAAAACCTCCGCGAAAGAACAGAAATCTAAAACGGAATGGTAAAATTTAAATCCAAGGCTTCGCGGGACAAACGTAATGAGTTCATAGTACTTGATTGCTACTTTTTGAGCTTGCGTTGGTTTTTCTCTTGAAGAGGAAAGGGTGATGCAGCAAAATAGAGATAAGTATTTCCCTCAGTTTGAGAACCAAGGTATCAATTCACTAGGAGGTACACGCAAGTCTCCAATCTATGCAACTGCACAAACAATCAAACACTTGCACCCAACGCGATAAAGGGGTTGTCAATCCCCTCACGGTCACTTGCAAGGATGAGATCTGTCAGAGATAGATATAAAAGATTACTAAAACGTAAAACAAAATAAAAATAAATAAAACCCAGCGAGGCATTTTTGTTTTCTTTTGGTTTATAGATATGAAAATATATGATGGAAAATAGACCTAGGGGCCATAGGTTCACTAGAGGCTTCTCTCTTGAAAGAAAACATAGAGTGGGTGAACAAATTACAGTCGAGCAATTGATAGAAAAGCGCAAAGTTATGATGATATCCAAGGCAATGATTATGAATATAGGCATCACGTCTGTGTCAAGTAGACCGAAACGATTCCGTGTCTACTACTATTACTCCACACATCGACCGCTATCCAGCATGCATCTGAGTATTAAGTTCATAAGATCAGAGTAACACTTTAAGTAAGATGACATGACGTAGAGGGATAAACTCAAGCAATATGATGAAAACCCCATCTTTTTATCCTTGATGGCAACAATACAATACGTGCCTCGCTACCCCTACTTTGTCACTGGGTGAGGACACTGCAAGATTGAACCCAAAACTAAGCACCTCTCCTATTGCAAGAAGAACCAATCTAGTTGGCCAAACCAAACCGATAATTCGAAGAGAATACAAAGATATCAAATCATGCATATAAGAATTCAGAGAAGATTCAAATAATATTCATAGATAATCTGATCATAAATCTACAATTCATCGGATCTCGACAAACACACGGCAAAAGAATATTACATCGAGATAGATCTCCAAGAACATCGAGGGGAACATTGTATTGAAGATCAAAGAGAGAGAAGAAGCCATCTTGCTACTAGCTGTGGACGCGTAGGTCTGAGGTAAACTACTCACGCTTCATCGGAAGGGCAATAGGGTTGATGTAGAAGCCCTCCGTGATTGAATCCCCCTCCGGCAGGGTGCCGGAAAAGGTCCCAAGATGGGATCTCACGAGGCCAGAGGCTTGCGGCAACAGAAAAGTATTTTGGTGGACGCTTCTGGTCATTTGGGAATTTATAGGCTAAAGATTAGGGTTGGAGGAGCTCCGAGGGGCCCACAAGCACTCAGGACGCCCCCTGAGGCTTGTCGCCTCCTCGGGACTCCTCTGACTTCATCTCCAAGTCCTACAGTGTCTTTTGGTCCAAGAAAAATCATCGTGAAAGTTTTATTCCGTTTGGACTCTGTTTGATATTCCTTTTTTGTAGAACTCAAAAACAAGGAAAAAACAAAAACTGGCACTGGGCTCTAGGTCAATAAGTTAGTCCCAAAAATAATATAAAATAGCATATTAATGCATAAAAACATCCAAAGTTGATAATATAATAACGTGGAACAATAAAAAATTATAGATACGTTGGAGAGGTATCAAGCATCCCAAGCTTAATTCCTGCTCGTCCTCTGGTAAATGACAAAAATAGAAATTTTGATGTGGAATGCTACCCAACATATTTAGCAATGTAATCTCTTTATTTGGCATGAATATTCAGATCCATACGATTCAACACAAAAGTTCAATATTGACATAAAAACAATAATACTTCAAGCATACTATAAAGTAAAATCATGAAACTTCAAAAAATAACATGGCTAAAGAAAGTTTTCCCTACAAAATCATATAGTCTTGTTATGCTCCCTCTTCTCAACACAAAGTATAAATCATGTACCACCCCAGTGTTAGCCAAGCAATTGTTTCATACTTTTTAACGCGCTTCAGCTTTTTCATAACTTCAGGCAATACATGAGCGTGAGCCATGGACATAGCACTATAGGTGGAATAAAAGGTGGTAGTAGACAAAAGAAGGGAGAAAGTCTCACATCATCTAGGAAAATACTGTGTGAACTACATGATCATGCAAAGCAATATGACAATGATGACGTGTGTCATAATAAATGGAACGATGGAAGTTGCATGGCAATATATCTCAGAATGGCTATGGAAATGCCATAATAGGTAGGTATGGTGGTTG